TAATGCACATCACTGCAAACATTGCTTGATAAGTCGTCAAGAAAGATCTTAAAATGTACAATTTACACATCAAACTGAGAATTCTTTGAAATAGTGAGTCAGTAAGTTATAATAAACACAAAAAAAAAATAAATAAATACATAGAATAAAAAGCAGATAGAAAAATTTTCACTAATTAAACTTCAATACGACGAGCTTGTTGTTGTAAACGTTCATTTGCAATTTCTTTCAATGTTATTGTTTTCTCATGATCAATATAAACATAAGGTACTGTTGTTGATGATGATTTGGATATTGAATTAGTCGTTGCTAATGAATTATTTCGATTAATTGTACTAGTTTGATTTGAATTAGATTGTTGATGATGATTACAACATGATAAAACAGTTCGTTTATATGATTGTTGAACAGTAGATTCTTTCATTAATTCAATATGTGATTCATCCGTAGCAATCGGTATTTCTGATTCTGTTGAAACACCTAGAAATAGAAATGATTTTGATATATTATAAAATAACTTTTTTTGTTCTCATATACCGCTTTCATCCATTGAAATTGGTATTGATTCTGATTTTAATTCAACATAATTAAGTTCTGGAGAAAGCTCTTTTTCAACAGGTTGTTTAAGTCTTGCAATAAATTGTCCTTCTTCTTCTTCATTTTCTTCTAGATTATCATTATTATTATTATTTTCTCTATGACAAGGAAGTGTATCAAAAGGTATGTAGTTTTCTGATAAATTTGGTTCAGAATTTCGATAAGAAAATGTTGCTCCAGAAGTTAATGAAACTGATGAAGAGGATGATGATGAAAAAAGAATTGATGATGGTACTCGACGTGTAACACCTTGATCGGATTGTGTACGTCGTCGTCGATGATGATGATGGTGATGATGATGGCGTGATGTTGATGAAACATTTGTTAGTGTAGATGAAGATGATATAATTGTTCCTCGTCGTTGTTGTTCTAGTAATTGTTTTGATCGAATTGATATACGTTGATCTAAACAATCAACAAGACGACGTGCTTGTTTACAACGAAATGCATAACGTGCTTGACCCAGTGGTGCACGACGACCACATTCAAGAATAAATATCGAACCATCTAAACCATAACGTTTGATTGTTTCTAATGGTATATGTAATGATTGTCGATGTTTTTGTCTTATACATAAACTATCATTTGACACATGAATTTTTGCTGATGCATGTTTTCGACCACAGGAATTAATATTATCAACTTTAAATATATCATCATTGGTTGATATTGATGTATCAATGAGATCACTTAAAAGATTATTCGATGAATTATTATTACCCATATCTGAAAAATATAGAAAATAAAATGAATATTTCAAAAATCAGTATGTTCAATCAGATTCGAGCTAAAATATTTATTAGTTGTAACTGTTAAGAAAACAATTGATATTTCAAATCATATAATGTATAAGAATATTTATAGGAAATGTATCAGATTTAGTAAACGAAAAAAAAGTAATAAGAAATTCTATTAGATCATCAATAAAGGACGTCTAGTAGAGCCTGTCGAATTCATAATTTTCGGACTCGGTCGAACTGTACTTTGAAATTCTCAATAAAATTTTCTTATCGGAATTGGATATTTGTCTCGAAAATACGCGATACACTTTCTGTGAAAGCGTACTTATTCAAATATACTTCTTTTTTTATTAAATAAACATATTAAAAATAGAAATCAATTAACACACATTTCATAAACTACAAGCAAAAATATAATCTAATGCAAAGTTTTTGATCTTAAAATAGATCTTATTTTAATGAGCAGAAAATAGTAAAAACAAAAAAACAAGTTCAATACCAATGGTGTTACGAAATCTTATATAACTGCTCGAGAAAATGACTATCTATTCATGTAGCATAATCTTCAATTATTCTAACATCGTACTCATTTTCAACTGATTGATTGAGTTCATTTCCTATTTGAAAAATGTTCTTTAAAACAAATTAAGCTTGAAAATTTCGTCGAAATTTATGTGAAAAAAAAAATTGAAAATATTCTTCGTACGTATCTGAACGTCAAGAAATATTTGATGTCTCCATCGACTCTGTCCAGATTCATCCAGTTTGGATACATCCTTATTTATCCGGATGTTCTGTATGGATGACCCCTAAGGTGAAAATCAATATGACTACATCATTGATCTTCCGATAATTGTGAAGTTGAATTATATTCTACGAAAGATTTTTCCTATAAAATACTAGTTTTTCTATTAAATAATTTAATTAATTTATTCATTTTTACCTGATTTGGTTGAACATATTTGATTCTATTCAAATAACATATTTGCTTATTCTATATTTATGCTACAGATACATAAATTTTCAAAGTGGAATAACGCTACAGAAATAGTGTTTCTTTTTTTATTTAGTTGCAATAGAAAAATCTTTTTTCTTTTACAATAATCAAACTTTCTAATTTTTTATGAACTCTTTTATTACTCACACTAATAATGTTCAATAAGAACAATTTGTATTTCATGAACTATATATATCACTTAAAACCTATCTTTAATGATGGTCTAAAAAAAGAAATCAATCTATGTTCTTTATTGGATACTTAATAAATTTCGTTATTGTGCGATAATAGTTTATGGTCTAACTAATAAACAGCATATAATACGATTATAGAGTTTATCGAGCAGAAGACGAATCTGTTGGTACTATAAAAATAGAAGTTTGTTGTTTTTTTCTAGTTGACCTACTTTCATAAAAAGCTTAATTGAGTAATCAGAACAAATTATTCTTCTCAAAACAATTTCTATTTTCAGAATTATCAAATCAATACTTATAAATTCATTCATTTTGCTGATAATATAGTCTAATTTAGATTTTTTTCTTTGTTAATATCATTTCAATCAACATCAAGTCTTCGAAATTTATCTTCACTTGATGACATGTATATTTATATATTTTTTTTTTACTCTTACTACATTTATATACATTATGTGATGATGAAGAATGTAGGTTTGAATAGAAAGTAAGACATTACTATATGTAGTTAATTCATTCAAATTGTTAATTTAATCTATACGGATTTAACAACATTAAGTAATAAAAAAAAATGATAGTATGTTAAATTTAAAGAATAATATGATTTACCTGAGTTCTTTAACAATAACAAACTCGTTCTATACTTAAAAGAAAACAATCTTCATCGTGTTTCATAAAACTTTCATAATTGTTTTAAGTAAATATATACTTTTCTTTTTGTTGAATAGAATAATTTTGAGAAATATGTAAATATTTTAATACTTAAATTTTTTCATGTTGAAATATTTGTTAGAGAATATATTTCAACCATGATGACATTTCTGATGAGCTAACAATTAAAATTTAGAAAAATATATTTCGATGTCAACATATATTTAATTATAAACAGAGATTGAATATAAATCGCACATACCATCAATACATTACTAATGAAAAAAAAAAACTTGAAATCATTGATTTATTATTAGTTCTTACTGTATGAAGTTTTGATTAATTATATATTATACAAAAATCATTCCCTTTATAATTAGAAATCGATACAAAATATACTTAAGTTTGATATTGATGAAATCATTGAATAAATTTGACATTATTCTGAAGATAAAAATTGAAGAATTTAACATAAACAAAAACAAGAAACAACGAATATAACCAACGAACATCAATATTTTCTATTAAAATAGATAATTCGTAAAAGTTGTCAATGTCCAAATCAATAGACCATAACAATCGAGGCTTTTCTCCTTTCTTTTGCACTCATTTTTTATCAATCTAAAAAAAAACTAATGAATATAATTACACGCTTAATCATCAGACAATTTTTGATTGCATAAAGTATAATCATTATTGATTTTTCTTCTTCTCTGTAATATTATAACTGATAGATGAGTCTAGATCAATGTTTTATGACTCATTGTATATTGGATGAATGTATCAACACATTAATGCATTTCGAAACTATGCACTTGTTAAATTAAATAAATTTTGGATGAAGATATAAAACGAAATTTTTTTTTGCTTCGACATTCTAATCTTTAAAGAAACAAAAATCGAGTCATTTTATTTTATTAATTGATTTTTTGTCATACTAATTCAAATTACCAAGGAACATAGATTACAAGGCTTTTTCTTTGTTGCTATTGCTATTTGGTAAATTCGAAGTAGAGAACGTTACAGGACGGTTTTTTTCGTCTTGCTGCCTTGCATTCTTTAAGACATTATTACTCAGTCATTCTGCTTTGCAAAATATAGAGCAGAACATCAAAAATTTCGTCATGCAAAACAAACAACCCTACTGCATCTTGCCTGCAGAATGATCTTTTTATTGTATTTTTGACAAGGATAAAACTTGTATGAATAAATATCATAGTAATACTATTTATATAAAAATCATTTACAATAATCATGTTAATAAGCCTTATCACACGTTTTCCAGCAGAAATAATATGAACCAAAGAAATTGACATCCATAATGCAAACAAAAGAATAAAGATAAGAATACAGGATGCATAATGTAATCAATATTGATAAATGAGAATGAGAATGAATAAGTTTTCTTTTTACTACTTTTTCTTAAATTTCTCGTATGAAGGAATAAATAATATGTTATCGATTTGACTTAATGAAAAATGTATTCGTCTTTAAATAAAAGAATTATTTTAAAAAAATGTCCTCTCGATTTGATAGTTTTGTATATTTTTAACTACATTACCAAAATGAAAGAGAGAAATTTGATATTACATATAATATGAAGGAATGAATCTAAGCTATAAAATGAAATATAATCTTCGATTTTAGAATGACAAAACAAAGAAAAAAAGACAGTAGAGAAAAAACAATAAATCAATGATTATTTTGAAACTATTTTACTGATTTATTGGCTTACAAAGCTTAGAATCTTTGATTTTAAATAGGCTATACTTTCATTTTCGAAAGACACATATTCGATCACTGACTGTTTTTTTTACAAGAATGCATTCAACTACTACCATTGCATTGATTATCTTTGTGTACTTTCTCGGAACAATTCATAGTATTGATTTTCAATTGAATCGACAACTTGGATCTATGGTATTCTTTTTATCTGGTCAAAGTCCACATGATCTTATCAATTATGGTTGTTGGTAAAATATTTTTCAATATTTCTTGTTTTAAATATAAATGTATACTTAACAAAAGTTTCATAGAAATTTTTTTCGAATTTTATCAAATGATAGAATTTACCTTAAACTTATTTTGTTTTTAATAGGTGTAGTAATAAAGATAAACCAATTCATGCTCCATTAGATGAAATCGATCAGTGTTGTCACACATATCAAACTTGCAATATTGCTGAGAAAACTGATACTATTCCTTATCCGTATAAAGCTTCATATGAAGATGGAACAATCGAATGTTTAAATAATAAGAATACGAAAGCTCATCGTCAATGTCAATGTGATCTTGAACTTGCTCAATGTCTCTATAAACACAAAAGCATATATACAACTAATTTATTATATACATCGGATGATAAATGTAATCCAGGCAGTAAGTTATTATATATAAAATATACATTTGAGATTGAAAGAACATTTGAAATTATGATAAATTTTCTTTATGTTTTGATAGAAAGTTTGTTGAAATTCAAATGAATTATATAATCTTTTTAACTTGTTTTAAATAATCTTCAATTGTTTTATATTATCTTATAGTTGTACTCAATTTTGATGATTTATCGACAAATACTACTTCGAAGGATATTCCAGAAAATTATCATAATTTCACATTTATTGGTGGACTTTATACAGCTGGTAAAGATTCAACTAATCCAACACGTCCTAGTGGTTATGCTACAGCTATGCTTAGTCCACCTAATGTGTTATTCAGTCAAAATCAAGTGACAATTAAACGTACCGATGGACAACTATTTTCTATTGTTTCATTTTCAGCAGCATCTGCTTTCGTTCGAAATTTAACATTGACTGTGACCGGTTCTCGACAGTATTCACCAATAGTTTTCAATGAGACTATTTCACTTCAAATTGAGACTCGTCAAATTGTTGAACTGAATTGGTCAGGTATCGATACGTTAACATTGACTGGTACAGGTGGTGCAAAATATCCACTTTATACAGGAACATGTGGTAATTGTCATTTTGCTATTGATGATCTTCGATTTCGTCTATGAATTCTTAATAAAGTTTAAATAAAAATAAAAATAAAAACTTGATTAATTTTGAATATAGAAAGAAAAGATCGGTATTCACTTACTCAGCAAATGATAGAAAGATTTATGTGGATTTCAGACACATTTTGTATTTATGTATGTGTTAAAATGTACTTACGAGGAAATTACCTCAATTGTTATTCGGTATTTGAACCCAAGTTGTACCCCAAGAAAGAGGGTCTCTGTACGACTAGAAAAATCCTACAAGAATTCATGTTCATCGGCCTCTAGAACTGAGTTATGATCGTTTTGCTAAATTTTTGATTTAGCTTTAGATATTTACTGAAAAATTAAATGATGAAATTTCGACTTGAAATTCAGTCCATAGATAGGTGTAATGATCCTTAAAATATTGTGAATGTTTCAGTTGAAAAGATGTGTTCCTTTGTCGAGATATTGAGTTTTCAACAAATAGTCGCTTGACACCCACATGCACAAACATCAAGTTCACTTGAAAATTCAATATCTCGACAAAGGACCATTCTGCTCGATAGAAACTTTCAGAATATTTTCAGAGGTATTAGACCCATCTGTGGGCTGATTTTCAAGTCTTACAGGGAGACTTCCTCATGATTTCAAACAGTGAATTACATTTCGGATAGTTCGCTTGTTAGTATATAAAATTACTTTTTCAAAAGTAAGTATATTAATATTTAAACTGGACTACACAATGATTCAATACGATGAACATGTTTTGACACCAGAACTTTTTTTTAATACAAAATTTCGTAGAAATTCCACTGATCTTATACGAAGATTACTGGATACGGTAGAATAAAAAACAAAAAACTGAAAGTAAAATGAAGACTGACTATTGAATCGAAAAATATTAATCGAAGTTTATTTTTATCTGACTTTAATTATTTAACAACTTACAGAATTTATAATCCTTTTCTTTTTAAATAAACTATACTTTCGTTCCGAAAGGCGTATATTCGATTATTCATTGTTTTCTGTTAAAATACATTTTACCACTATTACTGCATTGATTATTTCTGTATGTTTTTCGAAAACAACTCATAGCATTAATTTTCAATCTAATCAACAACTTCAATCTATAGTGTTCTTTTTATCCATTCAAAATCTATATAATTTTATCAATTACGATTACTAGTAAAATATTTTTCAGTATTTCTTATTTTAAATAAATGTGCACGTAACAATAGTTTAATAGAAATTGTTTAGAATTCTATCAAATGATAGAGTTTACATTAGAGTTATTGTCATATTTATAGGTGAAGTGACAAAGATAAACCAATTCATGTTTCATTAGACGATATCGATCAGTGTTGTTAGACACATCAAACCAGCAATATTGTTGAGAAAACTAATTCTATTTCTTATCGATATAAAACTTCTTTCGAAGACGGAACAATCAAATGTTTAAATAATGAAGAAACTAAAACTCGTTGTCAATATCAGAATGTTCTTGAACTTACTTGACAGTATAATTAAGATCAAGAAATCATGTACGAAATTGAACATGGATTTTCTAATAGATCTAGGTGATAGCAAAAATAATAATTATAATGAATGCTATAGTGTCTTATACATTTTTCAATTTAACTTATACATAAAATTTTTCTGATTTTCAAGTACAATTCATTCATCATATCTAACAAAATTGAAGCTTTTCAAATAGTTAGAGTGCACTGGATTTTCTTTTAGTTTAATCATTTACATTTCTCTTTTTAGTAGTTGCTCGAAATTTTGATGATTTGTCAACTAACGAGGCGTCTGACAAATTTCCAAATGATTGTCATAACTTAACACGTGTTAATGGACATTTTATCCTTGCTTACAAATAACATATATATCCCACTACTAATTATTCTACAGCTATTATTTGATCATCTAATGTCTCTAAGAGTCAACATGAAATGACAATTAAACATGCTGATGGATATCTATTTCCAGATATATCGTTTTCAATAGCAATAACTTGGAATTTCGATTTGGTATTATCTTCTTATTGTTTCTCAGTAATTCAAATACTTTTTAATACAATTGCTCTTCTTCAAGTCGATAGTTGCTCGTTCTATCAAAACATGATATTTAACATTAACGATAATATATCATATCTACCATATGAATCATCTCATGACTGTTATTTTGCCAGTAATAATCTTTACTTATATCTCTAAGTCATATGGTAAAAGAATTGAAAGAAAAAAACTTAGAAACAAATAACAGATGTTGATTTCTCAAAATTGATGTTAACATAAGAAAAAAGAACGACAACGCATGAGAAAGAACACACAATAGGATAGAGTATGTCTGAAATTATCAATTAGCGATAAAAATGGGTATTACAAATATTCATTGATATTTTAAACAATCTTTAGAACAAATTTTTCCCGAGGATCTGCATGAGAATGTCTTTAAAGCATTCTTGTTCGTTTATAATCATGTGCAGCAACTGCTAATAGATAGATACTATCTGGAAATTCATTTGAGAAAATCTTTACATCATATTAAAATACAGTTAGGGCAAAAAGGCATATTCTATATGAAGCGAGAAACTTTTTAGCTTCATTGTAAAATTTAAATATAAGTGAAAAAACTCTACTTGTCATTTTTATTCTTCATTCTGCAAAATGAATTGTATATTTATCACTCAACCATGTATTGTTGTCATTTAATAGTTCCATTAAACCATTGATTAGGTATATTTTGTATATGTCATATTTCAAATCTAGCTTCATAGGAAATTCCAAGTTGACGAGCATTTAATTTTCCAATAACTTTATTGTCTGGATAAGTAAATAGATGAATTTTTTGCATTGGACTATGAAAAGATTCAATACGATAACGTAAATTGTTTTCAGTTGTTCATGAATAAATATTAAATTGATCAGCTATAAAATCAACACACATCTCGTTTACAACTACATATTCTCGTACTGGATGTTGTGACTGTTCACTAATCGAGATAGAAATGATAACGATGAAAACATATAGGTTTATGTGACATTTTCAACGTAATATAAATAGTACGACGAATTGAGATACAGTAACCTTAATTTTTTCTTTAGACTAAGTTATGATAGATAATTGATCGTACGACAACAGATAGACAGTATGTCAGCACTAGTTGGTTTTTGTCTGCTAAATACTATATCAATGATATGTTGAGATGACCGTCATTTTTTGTTTTCTTATGTGCAAAAAAGAAACTAATGTACATAAAGAATGCAAATGTTTTTTCAGAGTAATTCGAAAAGAAATAATTCATTAGATTTTTATTTTTGAATGTAAACTAAATTAGTGATGAGATTTTCGATATTATTTGTAAGTAATTAATAAAAATCATAGAAAATAGTTTGATATTATACATCAATAGATCTTAATATATTTTCCATCTTCCAGCTAAATACTATAATCTATTATTGATAACGAGAATAAATAATTAGAAAGAACTATGGGGAAATACGATTCAAAGATTTGTTTCTGTTGACGACAGTTAACGTCTATCATTCGGACAGTAAATGGTAGTTGAGAAGGCAGAATCCTATAGTTTGCTGATTGTTGTCTATTTTAAATGTATACTATCATATACTATATTAGAACTTTCTTTCAATCTGAGTTACAGGTCAGAATAATAAGACATACATGAAAAAACCATACACATAGATAACAATTAATTTTTTAGACCGGAATTTGAATTAAATTAATTTAAACAATTGACTATATTTAATGAAATCAACTGATACACACATAGATGGACAGCAGCGAAAAATTTTGATCATTTAAAAAATTTTTCCAATGGAACCAAAGGAAAATGACAATATAGAACACATTGAGAAAAAAAACGAGGCAAAAATTTCCTCGAAAATGATCTAAAGAGTGAAGCTCTCTAAAGTTCTACTATGTATTTATTTATTTATTTTTGTTGTAGTGTTAGTAAATAAAATTTTTAACAATTATTTCCACCAATGGTGATTCAGTAGATGGGCCTTGAATGTTTACTTTAAATTTCTATTATCTTTAAAGATATTTTTATTAATCGTCATTGAATCGATCACAAAGAAGAACATTTATCATATACTTCAATGACATATTGACATCCAAAGCACGTAGCACTTCATGGTCGATTGGTGAAGTTGACATAATTCATAATGACAGACCTCTTTTCGACCACGTGACTGTCAAATAAAATACAAAATATAGTTCAATATATTTTCATTACAATAGATTTCTAATATTTAGAATATTTTTTCATTAATTAGAAAAAACATGAGAAAAATTCTTCTTCGTTATTAAATCCATATTCTACCTTGATTGATCCATAGTTTGTTGCCTACTATAAAAAGAAACGACAAGGTCGCGGTTTGATTACTTAAGACAGATATAAAATCGTTGTGTTTTTTTTTATTATATTTCATTCGTTCGCTGATTCGTTTAGCAACCAATCGAACATACTCCTATCAATAAAAGATTCAAACGAAGAAAAAAGCGCCTATATTTATCTTTCATTTATTTGACGTTTCGAGATATCAAGGTGTTCTATTTATCCTGCTTGTGTCTTTCTAACTTTGTCGTGTTTCTATTTTTATCATTCACGTGTTTGTGTGAGTGGGTGTCAATTATCAATAATAAATAATTGAAAAATTCTTTTTTGCCTTTCAAAATTAATGAAAGAATATGGCAACTGGCGAAGATTTAACAAACAATTTCTTTCCTATAATGTCATCAAATATAATACAACGACCGGTAAAAAAGCGATCACGTATTATGAAAAAAAACATTGCAAGAAAAAATCAAGTTCCAATACATTTTCGTTTTGGTAAGATGATTTTTTTTTGATGAACAAAATTTTATTATTAAAATGTTTTTTTTTTATTAGGCGGTAATCGAAAAGATCCACTCAATTTAAATGCACTTATACAAAAGAAAAATCAATCAACACGATCAACATCATCATCATCAATAATCAACAATGATCATACAAATACTAATAA